GCTCCGAAAGTGGGCCGAATCTTACGGTAGGGCCGGACGCCGCCCACACGGCAATATCGATATGCAGGGCCAGAGTGCGTATAGCGCACACATCATGAGCGCAAGGACCCGCAACAACTCTGCGTCTCTACCTTGCATGCACCTCGCACTCGAAGGACCCGAGCCTACCGTAAGATTCGGCCCACTTTCGGAGCAAATTTCAGGCTTGGTAGACCCCCTTTTTCGCTCCGAACTTCAGTCATCGCTTAGGTGGGGGGGGGGGGGGGTCTACTATTACATCATTACGAGAGCCAGGTATCCCCAGTCTGGTGAGACGCTGCCTTTGATCTTCCGATCTGAAATAATCTCCAAAGCTCGCGACGCTTTATTTTTACCATATCTAACTTTTGCTGATTTGCAGACGATTTTTGTCTGAAACTTGTAAAGGAGCTTTGGCATCTTTTGATACGGCAAACTTTTTTTGCTCAAAGCCATTTTTTGTAATTGTCTGGCATGTTTTCAGGATTTTTGTAAGATGTTTTTTGAAGTAACCTAATATTATAATTGGTTTTGAGCTTCGTAAATCATAAACTGGTAAACAGTCTGTATGAACCAATCGGATAACTTTTGCTCTTTTTTTCATTACTTTTTTCTTGCAAAGCGAAGAACGCTTATATACCTAGTAAGGTTAATGTCAGCAATAAACGAGTTCTGGAGCATCAATACTGGTTTATGAACTAGGCACCTGCACATTTTCATAACACATTGAGTACTTTCAAAAATTTCGCGATACATCACTGCTATGTGATATGCGATTTATTCCTCAATACTTTTGGAAGATTACTCAACAAAAAAGGCTTCTGAAAGCTGGAGTGAATAATCGCGTCATTTGCAAAACGTCCGCTCTATCTGTTTGTTATAGAACTCCTTGAAAACTTTAAGTAAAAATTCTGAAAGTTAATTGAAATTAGCAATGCGGGAATGAAAGTCGCAAACTCTATCATGTCAGCGCACGTAGGAAATGTCGCATCAAGAAAATGTTTTCTGAAAAGAGGAATAAGAAAGTTGATAGAACTTTCGCCTCAATATTTTTTCTTTGAAAGCGGAAATCTTGGACATTACGGTAGCACCTTGAATATCAAATTGCGAAAAACCAAATGAATAGAATTATAAAGCAATGGCATTTGCAAGCAAGCTCACAGTTCAAAAACATCACAGCAGAACCGAATTGAGTATGGCTTCTTTTTTCTAACTGAGAAAAAATGCATGCTAATCGAGAGCAGATTTGATTATTTGTGGAAAACGCAGACATTTCTTTTGAAATCCCGATCCAATAAGACATTCTTTTAACACAAAATTTGCTTTTTGTTAATCTTGCTCAAAATCAGCGAAACTCGGGGTATTTCCGTCGTGCATTTTCAACTCAGCAACTTGTGTTCAATGAAAGTAGCCAGTTCAACGCTGAAAACTACATGTTCTTCTCATTCAAAATTTACTGTAGGCAAATGCATGCAAATAGCAGTAAGTTACAAATTTTTGCAAGCGCACGTACATCTCCCCGGGAATCACCTTTTGCTCTCAAAATCGTCTATCCTTTCTAGAAATCGATGAAAATAACAGATTTCCAGCTCGTATGGCTATGTTATGCCATCCATGTTACTCAAGTAGCAGGGTGTTAGGACCTTTATGACATAGAAAAGAAAGAAGAACACCGATTTTCAGAATAGGGAAATATAACCCGTCCTTCCTCTGTTCTTCTCTATTCCCCAGCGGGGATGACAAAAAAACACCAAAATAACAAAAAAGGGCAGTTTGGGGTCGAATTTTAGCCGTATGCGCACTTGGTGCAAGTACGGCAAGGCGGGAGCCCAGCACTCGTCCAGGATTTCAAAATTGTGTGCAGTAACACACATCGCACCAAGGTGGCTAGACGGATGATGTTTACTATACCGCATCCTTCTGACTACAAAATGAGAATTGTAACCGGGGGTGTCTAGTGGTATAGCGGTTTTAACCGGATCGATAGGCAACACGGATTAAACGACTAACAGTTTATCTCAGAAAAACGGCAACGAACAACAAGAACAATAATGCGTAACGTGAACAAGCTTAACAACGAAACAGCGGGCTTTACCCTCTTGACCACTTCGGCAGGCTACTAGTTACTACTCTCTATCTAAGGGGGAGTTCCGCCTTTCTTCGACGGAGTTAGCTCCCTCTAGCGCTTCTCCAGCGCGGACTGAGGCCTCCCCCTGACTTTCGGTATTTATACCCTGCCGAAGGGGTCAGCGCGGGCTTTTCTTCCCGCCACTGAAGATCGGTAGGTCGGTGATCCGCGCCCTCTGACAGAATAAGCTTCTCTGCTTTTGTTTACAGCAAAATCTGCATGGGGTATGATAGTGGTTGATAAGACTTTATTTTCATCGCAAAGTGCCGAAATCAATAAATCAATAGAAGGATCCAGCGAATCGCTTCAAAAAGTAGCCTAAAACCATCTACGTGGTCGAAAACATATATGTGCAAAACGTATTCAAAAAGCCACGTTTTTTATTAAATAAATAGTTATAGCGGGCTTGGTAAACGTGGCTCATGTAATTTACATGGGTACAATGTAGCCAAATGTTTGCTTTAAGTAAGAGCTACCAGCGCTTTTTGAAAACATTAGGATAAAGATTTCTGAAATTCAGTAAAGATTTGGCGTTACTGCTGAGCTGCTCAAAAATCCGTGGCGATAACTTTGCAAAGACAGGGTCGACTAGAAAATAAGTATGACTGTAAGAAAGAGGATAAAAATCTGAGTCAAGTGGTACCCAAGTCGTTTATGATCTGTGTTCTGTAAGTTTTAGTAAGCGATGAAAAAAACGGACAAGACTTTCGGGACAACCTAATATCTTCCAGACCACTTGAAGATATTGCAGCACCATTCCTTGTATTACGACACGTGTTCTGCTAAGGCCGTACATCGGCATTTTTCACCATGCGATTCTAAAAATTCGGTTAATGCTTGCAAAGCATGTTCATTGGATACATTGGTATATAACGAATTCACGCCAAACGATTCGATCGCGCAGCTTTGACTAAAGTTTGTCTTGTGCAAGATCTCTAGAAAATGTGTGTGTTGCTTAAGTGGGCTGGTATCTTATCAAGCAGTTGGCTGATGATCTTATGAAGGAACCACTATATACGTTTGGTTGAACCGTTGATGCAGCTAATGATGGGTCGTATTTTGTACGACTCAGCGGACGCAGATTGCATTTAAGAAAGGGAGAGTGTGTCTTAACTAAGCTGTAGAATACAGGACATGGGGGTGTTTCCAATCTGAGTCTAATGACAAATCTGTCATGAAGTCCTGCTTCTCGGCCTATCACAGTCCATACATGATTCAAACGCTTATATTGTAGAACATATTCTTTCTCGCTCGTCGGCTGATAGAGAGTCTTACTGAGAGTTGCAATTCGGTCACTTCCCATTGGTGACACACAAGTGAGTGAACTTCTTCTTCCAAGCTCTCTACTTCCACAAAGGACGAATCGAATACGCAAGTGGAAGACGATGTTTGTCGGAGAGAACGTAGATTAAAGTGACTGACTACATTTAGGCCTCCGAGACGGCGTGTTGCCGAAACGTAAGGAGAATAAGGTGTGTCATGATAAAAAAAACCTGTACGGCACAAGAAAGTCATTGTATCTGTTAATCGCAGGTTGATTAATAATGATTTCCCATAATTGAATAACTTAATTCTCATAATTTTTACCGTTTTTACTATAATCGTGTCTATTTGTATATTCCCTTCAATTGATGAGGCTTGAGTAATCATTCGACAGGGCAAATCACGCTCTACTAGATGGCTACGAAGAATCTGCCCGAATCGAATTTCACTGGAAGTTTCGAACTGAGATTTTATAGCAGTCAAAAACAATTTTTCCTTTGAAAAATCTTAACCTCCGCCCCAAAACGTCTCAAAAATTCCCCATTTATCGTAGCGCATGCTTGATACATCGTATTAAAGGCAGTGTTCGGGCAAAAACTCGATTTTGAGATTTTGTGCTTACTTGGGCCTATTCGCTACGCTGAATCCGAAAATGCACATTGTAGAGCGCGAAAACGGCGAAAAACGGCTTTAACACAGGAGGGAAATGAGCAGGTGGGCGGGGTTCTCCCCACTGCGAATATACGTTCCCGGCTTCCGGAGCGACCTTCTCGCTTCCGGTTTCAAGTCAATCATTCGCACTTGGCCGGTAGCGATGTTAGAACGGCTAGCGGAATCGAGAAAATCGCGGGAGCTGGGAGCGTAAAATCGCACTGGGGAAAGCCCCGCCCACCTGCTGATTTCCCTCCCATATTAGAGGTCTTTTTCGCCGTTTTCGCGCTTTCCAATGTGGATTTTCGGATTTAGCATGGCGAATAGGCTCGTATAAGCACAAAATCTCAAAATCGAGTTTTTGCCCGGACACTGCCTTTAACTGTACATTTTTCCATGGCTAGAAATAAAGAAAAAATGGATGGGGGAAAAATGACAAACTCCGCTTCTAGGCATTTTGACTCTTCCCACGCATAGTATAATTATATAGCTCATACGTACAGATGTACGACCATGTAGTTGTAAACTTTGAAAGGGGCCCCATTTTCGAGAAATGTTTAGGGTAAAAAACGGTAAAAAATATGAGACACACTAAGATTTCTAGGTTACCATAAGCTGTTGTTAGTTTCTTCAGCACTTGGCTACTAATTTCTATTTTTGCGGGGTGCAGTAAACATAGGAGAAAAGGTAGTAACTTTGAAAAAGATGGCGGCGACAACGCAAATGCCTTTTTTATGCTACGTGTTAATTGTGTACACCTCATTTTATCTTTGAAATGAGGGTGAAATCTCTTGGTCCTGTCGAGCAGAACTTTTCCAAAACTCAGTCATTCTTTGTAAAGACATGCGCCGTATGATTGCCACTTTCTAGAATTCTCAATGTCAAATGTCAAAAATTTTATTAATTTCTGGACTTTGTTTGTGATATGTGTCGTAAAAATGAGATATCTTCAAATCCGCTACTCCAGCTTCTCCACCTTCAGCCGTAAGTATAGACTATATGCTGTAACATCCATAAAGCTGCCAACTGTTCCATAAGTGGCGGTTATCAGTGATTCGGTGCCTAGTTGAGTCCATCAACGACCAACTCAAAATCGATGCAACAATACCTTTATGGACAGCAAATGCTGTGATAGCCAAGTCCAAAACAATATGAGCTATCTGGAAAGAACTCATTTACACTTCTGCAATAAGCTACCGGACCCACCATCACACTAATACATAAGAAACGATATTTGTTTTTTGAAATCAGAGCCGTATAAATCTTTAACAATATAGTCACGGTAGCTGTGAGGCATTGTAAGTACGAGCAGATGAGACCTACGAGGTCCCCTAAAAGAGCGACGGTTAAGCATGCATACGAATCATCGCTGCGTCCTGCATTTGCTTGGCGGAACTGTAAACAGCTGCAATTCGAACAGAAGGTGCTAGCTATCAACGCAAATAGACGTGGCCACACGTGTTAAGAGGACGAGGGTTGCTGGCAATAATTCGGATAGATGATTTTCTGCTCTCCATTTCCTCTATATCTTACGCACTTTCGTATCTAATTTCTTAAGTAATTGGCACGGCTCACTCTACCTACTCGGCATTGCATGAAATGTCATCAAAAAATGTTTTCTACTTTATTTACTTCGAGAAACATCAATCGATGAAGACTAAAATGTAGATGCGCGAGTCACACGATATGATCGATGGTGGACCATGTGCCAGCAAAGTGCTAGCACCGTTCCAGCTCCTACGTGGACTGTGAAATTAATTGAGTTGACAGCGCAACCGCCCCGCTCATTAAACGGCAGCGGCACAAAAAACTTCTGACCAACACTGTGCTGAAAATGGCGATAATGAAGTCCTTTAACAAAATTTTTTGTCTTCAATGATTTTTTCACAACTCACCCGCAAGAACTACGCTAAGGTAAATTGCTTTCATGAAAGTGTAGAGAAAAGTGAGCGTTCCAATTGCTATAAAGACAAAGTTGCCGTAGTTTTCGCTGCGAAGACCTGTGCTCTGAACATCAAAACCTATTTTAAGTATCTCAGCAAAATAGCCAGGAAAAGCACAACCACCTTAGATAACATGAGACGTACAAAATAATGCTTAGTCTTAGAATGAATTTGAATGGTAACAAGTAAACAGAGTTACACTTTATTTTCACATACTATCCAAAAGACTGGTTGATTCCCCCTCTGTCTCACTGGCAGAGAGTCGTTCCAAGCGGCTGGAATTCCGCGCGACCGCCTTGCTTCCTCATACCGCCTGCGCGTGTCGCATAATCATTATTCCAAACCCAATCAGCGATTAAGGCAACCTCTGAGCCGTCTGTCACTAGACATGGGAAAATGAGTAGACGACAAGTTCCGAACGGATGGAGAACCCATGAGGCGGTCGCCCCCGATTCAAGCTTCTCGAGAGGCTATTGCTAGTGATTGCCTGCATCAGCATCTCCGCTCCTGCGCGCCGCTTCGCCTAGACTCTGCAACTCTTTTCGCGAACATGACCTCTATAATCACTTTTCCAGGGCAAGCGTCGGAAACATGTAGCCTCAATCATATGGACATGATTAGAGAGCATGTTTGCGGGAGAGACGCAGAGTCCAGCGCGGGAGTGGAGATGCTGGTGCACCACACTGCAATTAATGCCCTGTGCTACGTTTCCATCTGCAATAGGGTTTATGCGAAGTTTAAAGGATTATATTGCGAATACTTTATTTGAAACATACTGGAAAAAATTTGCATATCTATAGCCAATTTTTCAAATAGATTGCTGCCACCCCTGCACATACTGCTCTCAAATTTACGGAAATGCCGCGTTGTAAGTTGCTCTCAATGCTCGGAAACATTATATGAAGATGCTGGTAAGCCAAAGGCTTTCGTCTGACACCTTTCATAATCTCGTTATTGAGATCTTTCATCCTTTTAGACCAATTTCGAGAACAGTGATACAAGACAGGGTGTTATCCCTTGTTCATCAAAAGTTTTTACGTGCTCCTCGAATTTGTGTAAGGATTAATGTCCTATGTGTATTTTGCCGATGCCTGTAAGATCACAGTGTCTTGCAACGCAGTGATAAAGAATGGACAGATATATGAGGTTGAGGTTGTATCTGCCTAGTTAGATGGTTTGAGGACTGGCTGTTGCCAAGTCTGCGTGAGAAAACAAAGTATTTACATGATGGGAGCCGGCATTTCTGAGTATGTAGTGAATTTGATGTTAAATTTTTATTGGTTACATGCTTGCCAGACAGTGTGTGAAATGTTGTCGGTAACGGATCACTAGCGTGTTAATAAGATGTTCAAGCACCTGAAAACATGTATTAGGTTGGAAAGAGGAATCTCGCTTTTTTTAGTTTTTTTTTTCGCTAAAATAGATGTTCTTGCTAACCAAGGCATAAGTCCAAAATTTTAAGGTCAGAGGAGTCACGGAGGTTTGTTGGTTGGATACAATCGCATATATGGGAGGGGGGGGGGCAGGACTACTTGGGACAGTGTTGGCCATTTTCTGTTTTTCAGTTTTGTCTTGATGTCTAAGCATGAAAAAAGCACGGCAATTGTACTTATGCATGATTATATGTGTCTTTTACATGCAGGAGCAAGTGAGAGGTTCGTAGGGTTTTGTTCGTCGAAAATCAATTTCTGGCACCATAAATGGCTTTTATGTTCCTGCTCCAAACTTTGAGTAGGTCACGATTTTTGCCAATGTTCAAAGGCCAACTTGTAGAGTTTCCTTTGCCCTATCGAACTTTCTTGCTTTACTATAAAGCAACATTCTTGTCTTTCCAACCTAATAACTGATTATCTCTTATGAGCTCATAAAGACACAAGACCATCAATTTAGTAGGGAGTAGACGTGTTCATTCCTTACAAAAACATTTTCATACATTGAAAAAAGTACAGAGTAGTTTCTCAAGGGATCTGCTCATTAGAGTCATAGGTTCAGAACGGACATAGGCTCTTATAGTGAGGAACCTCTATGAGATCGCTTTCCGAATTCCGCGCTTCGGACAAAGTTTGAATCTGAAGACTTTTTAAGGAAACTTGATCTTAGGTCGTTTTGTCTTGCATTACTCAGAGGAGAGATAGATTATCCACAAATTTTTGAAAGATCATTCCTCAAGCGTGGGTTGTTTTCATGTCACACATACTTAATTTTGCAAATCATTATCGGCAATCTTATCGTACTTTACTGAAGAGCTTGACCCACGAGTTGGAACCGAGGAGATCTTCAAACGGAAGAAGAATTATGAAAAATTTTTGCAAAGTTTCCTTTCACTTCTTTCGATCCTCCTCACTAATTCTCGCTTTTTTGCCTATGCTGTCGTTCACCCAGAATAGAGGTATAAGGGTTATTCCATAGAGAAAACAAAGGTCTCCATTACCTTCAGCATGCGCCAAAAATTGAAAAAACACTTACTTTTATCTCTTCTTCTTTATCCTCGACATTGTCCTGCAAGGGTAGGGTTGGCTTGTTGCATCGTTGTTTCATTTGATTCGATCGGCTGTTTCTAGTCGTGTGAGGTTTGCAAGGTGCAGGTCGTTTCAAATGGTGTACTACGTTGCTTCGGCCGGCTACTAATCTTTTTTAACCTAAATGAAATGTATTTTCTATTGTATTATCGTCATTGTTAAACGTGACCATACCATTTTGATTTGAGTCCACGCATCTTTGCCGCGATAGGTGCATTTCAAAAATTGGCCACACATCCATAGCACCCTAATTGCTCACCGGATGACCTTCTAGAAATTTTGAGTTGACCATACAATACCGCTCATAATTCGTCAAAAAAGTCGCCGGACTGCGGCGGAGTGCGCCGGAGTGCGGCGGAGTGTGGCGAAGTGTGGCGCAGTGCGCCGGAGTGCGGCGGAGTGTGGTGAAGTGTGGCGCAGTGCGCCGGAGTGCGGCGGAGTGTGGTGAAGTGCGCCGCACTCCGCCACACTCCGCCGCACTCCGGCGACTTTTTTGACGAATTATGAGCGGTATTGTATATGAAGTGAGTAGAAGGAAATCTACATATATTAGGTGTATAATAACATCAAAAAGTGGGCGGGGCTTACAGTTCACAGCTAAACAGCGATAAAATCGATATTTTGAGCTTAGAGAACTATCAAACCTCAAAAATCGATAAAATCGACATTCTGGAGGTTGCAAAATCCCGAAAATTGGCGAAAATCGATATTTTGGAGGTTGCAAAATCCCGAAAATTGGCGAAAATCGATATTTTGGAGGTTGCAAAATCCCGAAAATTGTCAAAAATCGATAAAATCGACATTTTGAAGGTTGCGAAATCCCGAAAATTGACAAAAATCGATATCCCAAAAATCGGCAAAATTGATAAAATCGATATTTTGAAGGTTGCAAAACCCCAAAAATCGGCACAAATCGATAAAATCGATATTCTGGAGGTTTCGAAATTTCGGAAATCGGTAAAATTATTGAAAAACTAAGCGAAAAATTCGAAAAACTCCATAATAAGCTCATTTCCAGTGCTTTTATACAGCTGAAACTTTTCCAAGCAAGCTCCGCCCACTTTATACCCCACGTCACGATCGAAATTGAAGAAAATAAGAAAAATTAAGAAAAAATAAGCGAAAATCGCGTTTTTCTATCCCGATTTACCCCCTTTTTTAGCCGTTTTCAGCCCCTAACCAGGTCCAGATGGCCGCGGGAAAACTGTACACGAAGCGGTAATAAAGAGAGGGGGAAAAATAAGGGGGGAGAGAGAAAGGGGGGGGGGGAGAAAGAGGAAAAATCGCGTGTCTAAGTTTTTTTTTTTTTTTCAAGTCCGGGAAGGTTTATAGATAGGCTCCCACAGCCGGAGCCCCTACATTTTCTCCGAATTATATGTGGTGTCCTTCTCGAATACAAACTGAAGAATGGCTATCCCAGCTCGTCATCCCTACTCTCCGCGGAGATAAAATTCAAAATATGCACTATCGCCTTTATATAGCGCCTCTTACGCTGGAGCTGTGAGCACGAGCTACCCCTAGAAAAATAGAGCTACCAAAACTACATGTCAATGGCCACATGAGATTACCCCAGCCCTGCAACTCTTAGAGATATAAGGCGCCGAAATCGCCCTTATTGACAGATTTCCCAAGTTCGGCTGTCAATTAGGCACTTTTAATGGAAATTTGTTATTCTACGACCTTCTCTCTAAAAATCATATTTTCAGAGATCTGTCGAATAAAACAAACCCCAGCCCCGTAGCTGTAATATTCGCAGAGTTATTAGCCCCCCAACATGCATGCTCAGGCCGTAAAATCGGCTCTCCCAAAGTTGCTCCGTAATTCCCCCAAAAATCATGTTAGACACCTCTCTTATACCTATACACACCATATTTTTTCCAGCTTTTTAGAAGCAATACACACTGATATGGCGCGCTCTTGGCCTCTCGCTCCTCACTCTTGGCCTCGGCGTAAGATTTGGTTAAAATATTGAAGTTCTCGGATTGACTGTAAACTTCACTCATAGTGGTTTTTGGTCCCGATCTTTACGAAAATCCTATTTATTTTGCACTAGAGAGTCTTACAGTAAAGCTAAAGTGAGATAGAAGTAGCTGGATTAACCAAGATCGCAACTTCGCCTGCACTTTTCCCCTACCTGTTGCGGAAATTGTCTGCAAATTTTTGTGAGTTGAAAACTTTGTGAACACCTCTATCGGACCATGCTTAGCACAGATCTTTATTTGAATTGTTCGTCAGATTATGATGTTACAAAATCGCCTTCTCAAGAATTGTCTTTCAAATTCGAAGGTCGTGTAATTTGGCAGATATTCTATCCTACAATGTGCCACCAGCAGCAAAACAATATAAGAAATGTTGTTAGCACGTCGAGTACAATACCGCTTACAGAATGTGCAAAATTTCCCTGAATATCGCAAAATTCCGAAAATTCCATAAAAGACTGCTCTACATACAATACCGCTCATAATTCGTCAAAAAAGTCGCCGGACTGCGGCGGAGTGCGCCGGAGTGCGGCGGAGTGTGGCGAAGTGTGGCGCAGTGCGCCGGAGTGCGGCGGAGTGTGGTGAAGTGTGGCGCAGTGCGCCGGAGTGCGGCGGAGTGTGGTGAAGTGCGCCGCAC